TTGCCAGACACGGAAAAAAAAAAAAAAAAAAAAAAAAAAAAAAAAAAAAAAAAGATTTAACTTAATTAATTAACTGTAGGAACCCAGAAGATGTCACAACTAGGTTAAAGGAAAAGTTAAAAGAGCTCATATTTGTATGAAGTAAAGGAATGTTAAAGTGAATTTACAAAAGATGGAAGCTTTTTTTCCTATGGAAGAAGAGCAGTCAGTTGAACATTGACTAGACAATGTGCCATAGCTTCATAGCAACGAAAGGCTAGAATCACATAACTTGGGAGGGGAGGGTGTTCCTTAGACAATGCATAGTTTTCCACTAAAGCACAAATTTTTCCCTTTGGTCTCCCCCCTTTTGATCAAAAATAATCTCAAAGATTGTTCTTGATAATAAAATAAAGGTGATCTCACTAGATTTGGTCTGATGATTTGCATAGGAATAGTAGCACAGTGCTAATTTGTCATGTAGGCCTTCTTAAGTTTGCTTTTGTAAGTTACATTGTCATGAGTAACCTTAGATTGGACTTTTAGCATCTCTATTATTTGCTAAGCTGAGAGTAGGAAGCCATGCTCAAGAAACTCTCTCCACAAGTTTTATTGTATTCGTTTTTATTCTCAATAGGAATGGAATCTCATTTCTAAAATTTTTTCCTAGGAAAATTGAGAATTTTATTCCATTTCTATTTTGAATTGGATGCAAAAAATAAAATATAAAAAAATAGCAGAAATGTAATTACTGTGGTTTTATATTTGTTTTATTTTCAGATTGAAAATATCAGAAGGAAGCATAATTATTTACCTTTCATTATGGAATTGTTAAAAACTTTAGCAGAACACCAGCAGTTAATACCGTTAGTAGAGAAGGTAAGTATTTTATTGGCAAATAATTAAATTAGGTTTAGATTCTCCAAAAACATAACTTTTTCTTTTTTTCTTTTTTGGCATGAGTAGAGGTAAACTTTGTTAAAGCTTTTTTATTTTTATTCTTTTGCTTTTGCCTATTTTGTATTCTGGGAAGTAGTGCAACCTGATACTGTAAAATATAAATAAAGAATTGCTCCACTGCTTTAGCCTTCCAGAATTCTTAGTGTCACGAACTCAGGTTGTGCTGTATTAAAATAAAATGTAAAGCCCTATCCTTTCTTTAAGCAAAACTAGATTTTTTTTTTTTTGTGACTGGTAAGGGGATTGTAACCCTTAAGCTTAGTGTCGCCCGCACCGCGCTCAGCCAGTGAGCGCACCAGCCATCCCTATATAGGATCCGAACCCGCGGCGGGAGCGCCACTGCGCTCCCAGCGCCGCACACTCCCGAGTGCACTATGGGGTTGGCCTGCAAAACTAGATTTTTAATGTTAATAATTGAAATAATTTTTTACTATTTAGCAAAGATTTGAATTGATATAGAATTTAGAACTAGAATGGACATTGATGGAGAAAAAGGTAGCCTGGACTAGCAAATAGGTTTTCTTATTCCTAATCTAGTATCCTTTCCACTAAGAGAAAACTAGCATAACTTAGTGAAAAATTCTGATTTCCAAGATTTTTTTCCTCAATATAAGGAATTTAGTAAAATATTTGTTGAATAAATGAAATGTAGTTGTTGTTTTTAAGTTTATACTGTAAATCAGTGTTTCTGAAAGTAAACGTCTCTGGATACTCTTTAAAATACATGTTACCTGGCCCCTCCCCAGATATTCTGATACAGGGGAAGGAACTTTTAATAAATTTCCCAAGTGATTCTAATGCAACTGGTCTGTGTACCACATTTTGAAAAATGCTTTGAGAAGACACTACTAGGCAAATAAAATTTTGGACCATTAACTTTAAAAAAGACCAGAATACATGGTAGGTATATTTTTCTTATTAATTTTAAAGTTTACAAAGCAAAGATACATTTCAACACAGCAGTTTCATATTATAAATTACAAATAATATGAGATGTGAGTTAATACCTTTTTTGTGTATACCTTATTACCTGAAACACATGACCCAAGGTTTAGCATTAAATGCAAAAATTATTGTGGATAACTGCTAAATCTTCTCTTTTCCAGATAAGTTTTTTTATTCATGAATCTCAGGGTATTCCAAGATGGGAAACTGATTTTTAAGTTTTAGACTAATAATGAGAGTCTTGTGGTTCTCAAAATCACTTGGTTAACAGAGTTCTTAGACATGGTGTTCTTTGTATGAAACACTAAGAAATATTTTTTATTAAAAATATTAAACAAACTATATAATGTGCTAAATCATGTAAAATCAGATTTTAAGTATAGGTAAATATTAGGAACCCTTAGACAAATTTTAAATGTGTAATTTTTTCTTTAAAATTGGTCTGTGAAGATAATTTTTAATGCAAATTAGGAAAAGGACCACTCTTGTTAGATATTTTAATGACAGATTTTTAAGTGCCTAGTTACAGAAAAAAAGCTTTTCAGTTTTGCTTAACCGTAACTCACATTATTCTGGACACAGGGGGGCAGTATATGAATACCTAATGTTTGTGGAATACCAACTCAAGTCTGTTCTTGTGTTTGCATTTGTTTCTTGAGGGAGGTAGTTATTTACCGTCTAGTTTGCCTGTTCCTCTAAACTGTTCTTTAATTAATATTGCATAAGCAATATTGAGATATATATTTCTTGTATATATGCAATATCTGTTATTCCCCTCGATTCTGAAGGAATTCAGATTCATCATTTGATTGGAATTCTTGAAATGTTTTTAATTATTCATCAATCATTTATCTAGTTGAAATTATATTCCAGGTACTCTGTTAAGGTCTGGGGATGTACACATAATTAAGATATATTCTTTTCTCTTAAGCAACTCATTATATAGTTTTGGAATGGAATAAATAAACAATTATTTATTGTACTGTGCTTATTTATTTTATTGTGTGTATTATACTGATTAGTGACAGAACAAAGTCATCTAAATATCCTGGGCAAATACAGGGTAGCTTCTAAATAGCTTCATAGCCCCTTAAAATTTTGCATCCACAAAATTTTAAATCTGTGGTTGGAATTAAATGCTTAGTCTATACCAATACAATATGTTTCTATCTTATTTTGAAAAAAAAATCATACCATATTAAAATATCACTTTCTGCTGATAAATGCAAATGTTAAACAATAAAGCAGGTTTAAAAATGTTAGAATAGGTAAAGATTAAATTTTATAATTACATACAATGTAAAGGCCTTACTAATGATAGTTGATTACTTAATAGTATTAATATGTTTAAGAAAAATTACCTGTAGAATTCAGAAAAAGATCATTAAATTGGAATTTTTTTTTTTAAGGGAAAATAGGATAAGAGAATGAAGTGTGAAAGGGGTAGAAGGAACCAAACAGGAAAGATGTGGCTGCTCTAAGCAGAGTTGCTAAATGCCAAGCCTATCCAGGATCAGATTTTTGAGTAGTCTGTTAGGCTGTTGCCTACATCCTGTGATGGCATATAAGTATTTGAGCTTAATTTAATAATAAACAAAGGGTGAAGACTTGGACTCTCTCTTGGGCATATGGCTATAATGAACATATTGCAAGTGTTTTTGTTATATCAGGCTTCTACTCTGATGAGTTCATTGAATATACATTACATAAAAACTGCTCAGGAGATAACCTAAATATATGTAATTATAAAACTTCTTGTGTCATATAGCAAATCAGTTTGTTAAAATATAAAATAAAATTAGCTAGAGTAAGATTCCGTTTGTGAAACCTCTGTTTATTCAGGTATGCTTACAATTCTTTTAAATTTTTTATCTCAACCTTTATATGTAATTCTGAATCATTGTTTATCCCAAGTTTTTAACAACCATCAATAACCTACCATAATGTAAAATCATAGATTCAGTTGCTATGGGTGATCCAAAGCAACTTCACAATATTGAATTTGGCCCACATTTTACTAAGAAATTATAATTCAATTGGTAATAAGTAATTAACCTTAAGAACTTACTTTTTCTGTTCCTTAATAGAAATAAGGTAGAATAGTTAAGTTAATAACAATAATATGCATACTAATATCTGTGATTACAGAATTATCTGACTTGAGTAAGTCATTTTCAATATCTCATTGTCACACTGTGTAATTAAAATATTTTTAATGGTGTATAGTTTAGTTTTTCCATCTATTTAGAAATATAGTATTTTATATTTTTTAACAAAGGCAGAACAGAATACAGACTTTAAGTTTAAATCTCAGATATGTTACTTATTAGCTGGTGCATGTAGGCAAGTTATTTACTTATAGTCTCTATTTCTCATCTGTAAATTGAGACTCATTCTTGAGGATTAAATTAGATCATATCTGTAGAGTATACAATAAATGCTCAATTATTTTTAATTTACTTTGCATATCCTTTAATTTTATCTGAATTATATGATTTAATAAATGTATAGACACTTTCTATATTACTTGTCTTTAGTCTTTTAATTGTTATAAAGTTTATATCATAAAAAAGTAAATTTATTTCTTGTTAATTCTACTAAACGTTCTATTAAATATACTTAGAGATTAATAAGGAAAGAAGTACATACTTTTATTTTAAATTATGCCTTAAATCGAATTATATTTTTATTACTTGAAAACAGAAAACTTTATATGAGATACGGTATACATATAAATCACAAATTATGCTTGTTAAGTAAAAATGTTCATACAGGCAATTAATTTTATCATTTTACATGGTACATATAATCTGTTTGCTCTTAATAATTCTAAGGCATAGCACACAATTTTTATCCTACTGTTATATAATAAGTATACTACCTAATACATTATAAAAAAGATAATAATTGTTCCAAATACCCTATTTTTTTCTTAAGGAACTTTAAAAAAAATTGTATAATAGCAAAAGACTAATTTATTGGTTCCTTTCTGATTCAAGTGGCATAGTAGAAAGAACATTGTATTCTAGTACTCTAAAATCTTGCTTTTAAAAATATCATCTGAAGACAAGCATAATTGGCATTACCTGAGAGTTTGTTAGAACTGTAGAAGCTCAGACATTTTACTGAATCAGTCCACATTTTAACAGGGTCCCCCGGTCATTGGTGTGTACATTGAGAAACACTGCTATAGAACATGTGTCTTTGACCTCTATTGACAGTTTGCTATGTACAGCTGTATGACTTTGGGCAGCTTTGATAACATCTGTGAGCTCCGGCTTCTTCATCTGCTAAAGAATAAAATAGAATTAATGTGTTTAAGTTATGTCAGTGTTACGAGGATCAAATGAAATAATACGTAGAAACGTTTTTTCGGTCGTATAAGTAAGGTGTGTCCACATTATGGATACATAGTCCTTTAATGACATATGTTCAACTCAAACTGTTATGTTAAATTCATTTATTCAAGGGCCGGCCCGGTGGCGCACTGGATAGTGCGCCGCTTGGGAAGCGCGGCGGCGCTCCCGTCCGAGGGTTCGGATCCCACGTACAGACCGGCTCCCGCTCACTGGCTGAGCGAGGCACGGGAGCAACACCGAGGCTTGCAATCCCGTTGCCGGTCCCCGGTCCGGTACGGGGGCAACACTGAGGGTTGCGATCCGTTGCCGGACACAGAAAAAAGACAAAAAAAAAAAAAATTCATTTATTCAAGGGCCGGCCCGGTGGCGCACTGGATAGTGCGCCGCTTGGGAAGCGCGGCGGCGCTCCCGTCCGAGGGTTCGGATCCCACGTACAGACCGGCTCCCGCTCACTGGCTGAGCGAGGCACGGGAGCAACACCGAGGCTTGCAATCCCGTTGCCGGTCCCCGGTCCGGTACGGGGGCAACACTGAGGGTTGCGATCCGTTGCCGGACACAGAAAAAAGACAAAAAAAAAAAAAATTCATTTATTCAAATATGCAGACGCTGTTACAGGATTTTTTTACATTTATTTTTGAAGAAAAAATATGTAAATACGTATATATTATTTTGGAATACTCATGAAAGTTTGATTTTTAGAACGAGTAATTATGTATTTTTAAATTATTACAATTATAATAATACATTTCAAATTCAGATAAGAAAGAACTGCAAACCAAACATGATTCTTTCTTACTGAAGGCAAAGAATTACTATATAATTGCCCAGGAGTGATTTGCTGCAAGTCTCAAGTTATAAAATGTAATGCTCTAGTAATCTTGGAAACAATGCATTTCAAACCTTTTAGCTTGAGAGTGCCCTTTTAGGCACATTTTATTTTAATATGTTTTAAAACAGTCTTTAGAGACTTTGTAATATACTCTCTTTAATTTTTAGGCAAAAGAAAAACAGAATTCAAAGAAAGCTCAGGAAACCAAATGAAGAGTAAGCTTTGGGATGTCTACACATTTCTGCTTCTGCACTTATTTTCATGGAAACCATTAAGTACAAATTTTGAGCAACATCCTAATTGGCTTGGTGCACGTTTGGCAGTAGTACCAGTCTGTCTTGTCTTTAATGCATGGATTCATCAACTTTTTCCTTACCTGCATTATGTGCATGTAATGCATATTAAATAAAAGTGATATTAAGAGTATTTGCCCAAATCCCATTATTTGACATTGGATCTGAGAACTGATGGTTTTCCTGGATGTATAACTACTGTAATGAACCTTTGAAAATGCACAAATGATATTCTCTACCTTTAATTGTTCTAATTAATCTTTTGATCAGTTAAGCACTTAGTTTGTAAATGTCAGGTCTTTATTAAACTGGATCTCCTGTTTCTTCTCATTAATGGAAAAAAAAAGATTAGTATTTCTACCTTTGACACCTGAGTGTTTTAAGGATTTTAAAACTGAATTTTATCTCCTATATCAATTATTTGAAAAAATGTGATTTTAATGCAGATCATTTGAAAAGGACAAAAGTACAATTTCTGTTGATTTTCATTTCTGCCAGTAGAAGAGGTAATAAACATTCCGATTTTATTTTAGCAAACTTTAAGTGTTCGGGGTTATTCATTTATGTATTGCAAAATTATTTCAAGAAGGTCTGAGTGTTAAGCTTCAAAGCAAAATTTCAGGTTAAGAACAAATTGTGAATCTAAAGAGTTTTGGTATTACTCTCAATCTGGCAACATTTTTTTCAAGTTAAGCAGTATCTTTATAAAAAATTGGAAGGATGAGAATTCAGGCTATCTTCTTTAAAAAAAAAAAAAAGATGGCAGTGGTGATGGGGATCCTTCTATGCCAATTTGAACAAAGTTTTAGTACAGCCCGGTTTCCAAGAGTAATGTATAATTTGCTCACAATGGATTTTTTAAAAATTGCTTTTGGTAGTTTCTTTGGTTTTTATTTTATAAAATAATACTGTGTTCTTGTTCCTAATCTTCTTTTCAAAGTTAAACTTTAAAAGAAATCTTATAAAACTTATTTTGTGAAAGAAATAATCTACTTTTTTCTTTACCAAGCACATTTCTGAAGTTGATACATGACTTTTTAACATTTTATTATTTATTATAAAATAAATTTCACCATTTACTTTATTAGGGAGACTGTGTACCCATCTTGCAGCTTCACCACATGATTTTTTTTTTTTTTTTTTGTCTTTTGTCTTTTTCCGTGTCCGGCAACGGGATCGCAACCCTCGGCGCTGCCCCCGCGCCTCGCTCAGCCAGTGAGTGGGAACCGGTCTGTATGTGGGATCCGAACCCTCGGGCGGGAGCGCCGCCGCGCTTCCCAAGCGGCGCACTTATCCAGTGCGCCACCGGGCCGGCCCCACCACATGATTTTTTAAAGATTGTTTTTAAGCTTAGTAATTGGGGTATTATTAAATTACTTAAATCTAATTGGGGGAAACCTGGTGGGAAATTAAGTAGAAAAGTTAATGAAGTACTTTTTATACATAATTTCAGTTGAAGGTAAAGAAGAATATGTGGTTTTTCAGTTATTTGTGCATAAATATATTTTTCTCTTGATAGAGTAGTAATTATGGAGTGTTTTCAAAGCCATGACATAATTTTAAAAAATGGTTTCCTCATCTTGATCCCATTCATTTAATTCAGCTTAATTTATATACCCCCTATTATAGAGGCTTACATTTTGTAAAGCCATATAAGGATTATCATAGTGATATCCAGTAATCAGTATAGTGTGATTCTGGCATAAGGATTGACAAATAAATCAATGGAATAGGAGAAAGAGCCTAAAAACAAATCCACATTTATATGATCACTTGATATTTAACAAAGGTAAAATATTTGCATTGTATTTGCCAAGCAATACAACAGGAAGGAAACTCTTTTCAACAAATTGAGCCAGCTACTACCACTCCCTACCTCACAAAAATGAATTTGAGATGGATCAGAAACCTAAATGTAATAGCAAAAAATTATAAAGCTTTTTAGCAGAAAACATAGGTGAATATCTGTGTGACTTGTGGATAGCCAAAGGCTTCTTAGGTCACAGAAAGTAATTACCGTAAAAGGTCCAAAATTAGAGTTCATCAAAACTAAAAACTCATCATTGAAAGACACCGTTAACAAGACTAACTAGTATTAAATGACGTTTAAAAAATAGCTTTATGAAACTATTATGTTAATAGGTATAAGGATATTTTTCTTAATCTAGTTGTAATGCAAGCTTTGATAGGAATTTCCATAGCTTAAAAATGGTTTATCTTCTTCTTCCTTGATGATTGCAAATACATTGTGATACTTCGTGATTATTTCTGCCCGTGAATAAAGAAGTATGACTTGTCTTTGTCTGGGTCCTATATATTGCTGGTTTGAAACAAAGTTATGAAGCTAGTGGGTAGAAAAAATGGAAAAATAAAGGACAATTCAGAAATAGATAAATGTTAGTTATATGGAAAGTTTAGGTTTTTTTTTAAGGAGTTTTATAAAGAAAGTCTCTTTTGCTCATTTCACTTTTGCCCTATGCTAAAATCTCATTTAGTGATTGGGTAGGCAACGGCACTTCCATTCTGTTTTATGCCTTTTAAAATAGCCAATTCTGGGCCGGCCCGGTGGCGCACTGGATAGTGCGCCGCTTGGGAAGCGCGGTGACACTCCCGCCCGAGGGTTCGGATCCCACATACAGACCGGTTCCCGCTCACTGGCTGAGCGAGGCACGGGAGCAACACCGAGGGTTGCGATCCCGTTGCCGGTCCTGGTCCGGTGCGGGGGCGACACTGAGGGTTGCGATCCGTTGCCGGACACGGAAAAAGACAAAAAAAAATAAAATAAAATAAAATAAAATAGCCAATTCTAAGGGAAGTAGTATTATAACATCTAAGGGATGTGCTATTATAAACAAAGAAAGCTTGCCAACAGTGCTGCACTGGCTAGTCTCACCTCATATGTTCAGTTCTCAAGATAGCTGCCCCTTTTCTAGCAGAGAGTAGTCAGCTCAACTGTGCCACTAGAATAGACAAATATTTGTTCTGGGATCATGACCATGGGGACTTACTCTCCTATTTAGGACCATGATCGATACTCTGTGTGTATTATGCTATTAAATGCAGATTAATACCTTTAGTTAATCCTCCTAGTTGCCTATAGCATTTCTAGATACATTCAGAATTTTTTTTCCTGTAGGAGGATTTTGTGGGGTTTTTTGTTTGTTTGGGGGAAAAAAAAAAGGTTAAGGTATTCTCCAAAAAAAACCCCAGATAAGCAAAAATAAAATTTAAATTACCATAGTTCTACAAACAGGGATGAATAACCACATTAACACTTTAGTGTATTTAGTGATCCTTTTTCCCTATGTGTACTCATGTTTTTGTGTGTTAGTCTTGCATGCCCTCTCCATACTCAGAAATAGATTTATGTAGTATATATTATTTTTAAACTTGATGATGTACAATTTTTCATTTTTGTATCAGTGATTACGTACTTGCAGAAAACAAACCACTCTAGCTATTTGAAGAGGAATGGGGATTAATATTGGGGATTTTTAAACTACCTAGTTTCTTACAAAATCATTGGAAGATTTAGAGGAGTGGCTCAAGTTTGAGTCTCCAGAAATGACTCCCAGCGAAACATATAGTACTGGCCCACCAGGAAAATTGCTAGCTCTGCAACAGTCAAGGAGTCCACCGTTGGAACTATTGATGTTCGAACACATTGCTGTAGTTTTCTGGGAGTGAGGAACCTGCCACAACTATCTGTTGACACCCAGGGACTGTATATTTTCAGTCTCTCTGTGGCTAAGCATGCCACTTGAAAATAGCTAAAGCGACAGTCAAATGGCCTCTACTGTCCTTTTGCCTTTCAGATCTTATGTGAGCTTTAATGCAAGGGTGTCTGGGAAACCAGTGTTGAGCTTTCCAGTTTCTGCGGCATAGGAAGATATACTAGAGTGAGGAGGTTGGAGCAGAGTTTGAGTGCAAATCCACCCAATCACATGTCATTGTGTTGTTCCACATTAAAACAAACTTTTTTTTTCATTTTTAAATAAGTGACATGTTTATTTCAGAGAAATGAGAAAATACAGACAAGAAAAAAATATGAAAATCAAATATAGTCCCCTTACCCAGAGATAGTCACTGTTAGTGTTTTGAAGTATTTCTCTCTACAGAACATGTATGTTTATATTCACATATTGTATTATTCCGTTTGTGTTGCTATAACAGAAATACCTGAGACTGGGTAATTTATAAAGAACACTGGTAATTTATAAAGAAATTTATATAACTTACATTATTTATTTGGCTTATGATTCTGGGACAGCTGTGTCTGGCATGGGCCTCAGGCTGCTTCTAATCGTGGAGGAAAGTGGCAGCAGCCGGCGGGTACAAGCAGATCACATGGAGAAAGGAAGCAAGAGAGAGGGAGGGGAGGTGCCAGGGTCTTTTTAAGCAACGAGCTCTCGCAGGCACTAACCTAATGAGAACTCACTCACTACCCCTCTTCCCCCAGGGAAAGCATTAATCCATTCATGAGGGATCTGCACCCATGACTCAAACAGCTTCCAGTACTGCCACAAAATCTATTGGGGATCAGATTTCCACATGAGTTTTGGTGGGAACAACACATCCAAATTCTGTCATATATGTATATTTATATTTTCTTTTTATGAAAATGAGGTTATACAATTAAATATTTGTTGCATGGTTTTTTCCCACAAACTTCTTTTCATATCAGTAGATATATCTGTGTCACATCTTTTTTTAATGGTCACTTAGTATATATTTCACTATATAGATACACTCCAATGTACTTAAAAGACTAATAGTAAAGACTAAAGCACAAATATAAAATGAGCAAACTGGATAGTTTGATTTTTAGGGTATGGTTTCATTTTTTTTTTAAAGTAATGTGAATTCCTAGATCAGTCAAATGTGCATGCTTTTTTATTTGTTCTTTTCCTTAATACATCATTAACTGGCCTAAATCCAATGACTGACAGGTTAAAGAGTCACCATTTCTAGCACACCTGGGTGCTTTTTGTTTTTGTTTTTGTTTTTTTAAAAGATGACCGGTAAGGGGATCTTAACCCTTGACTTGGTGTTGTCAGCACCACGCTCAGCCAGTGAGCAACCGGCCATCCCTATATGGGATCCGAACCTGGGGCCTTGGTGTTGTTAGCACCACATTCTACCGAGTGAGCCATGGGCCGGCCCTGCTTTTTGTTTTTGACTTGATTATATTCTTGAAAACTTCAGTAATTTATTCAACCTATATCTGTTCCAGTGCTGGAGATATAGTGATGAGCAAGATAAAGCCCCTACCCTCATGGTGAGACAGATAATAAACAGCGTATAATGTAATTTTTCAAGTAGTAGTAAGAACTGTAGAAAATAAAACAGGGTAAAAGGACAGGGGAGTTGAGGTTTGATAGCATGATCATGGAAAGCCCCTTTAAGGAGGTGATTTTTAAGCAGAGATAAATGAAGAGAATTTTCTTCTCTGTAGTACTGAATCAGCACTATGAAAATAGATTGCATATGGGCAGAACCAACTTACAGTAATTCAGAATATTAATATGCAATAATGT